AATGAAGTACTCTTATATAAAATGTAGATAGGAGTATAATATAACATTACAAAATTGGTTCCAAAGAAAATTTGGCTGTTATAATAAAGTGTTGTTATAAAGAATAGTTGTTATACAAAAATTATGACATACTAGGGGTGTCAATGGTTTTGTTCGGTCGATTATTTTATAAAATTTGTACCATACCAATTTTTCGGTTATTCTATTATGTATAACCAAAATTAGACTTTTCAAAACCATCCAATCATGTCGATTTTACTTCGGTATCGGTACGGTTCAATTAATTTTCGGTATTTTTTAAAATGTCATGTAAAATTCACCAGTAGAAGTAGAATGCAATAACATACGTTCTTTTATACGACCTAGCAAAACTCTCTAGGACTTTTTACTGTTTAAAGGGTGATAAATTTAAAAACATGAAAGATGGCTAGAGTATCGATCCATCAACTATTCGACAACAACACAAAAGAACCCAAGTAAAAGCAAAGAAAATATAAATCACACAAGTAAAGAGCCATTAACCAAGTCGGGACTCAAGAATAAAGTCTATATTAAATATTCAAAAAGATAAATTTAAATTATATGAAAGGAAACATATTCAATACATTGTAGTTTGCTATTAATAATCGCTAGAATATTGTATCTTGCTAATAAAGATACTTGAAATAACTTAGTTTAAGTATAAGTAGCATAATAGGTTTTAGGAATTAGTATTTTGAGTTTAATTACTAGATGACTTATAACAATTTATATAACTGCAAGACCCAATGAAAAATTTAATGCTTTATTAGTTTTAAACTTACTATATAAATATATTTTTCACATGTAAAATTTATTCGCTACGGTTCGGTATTTTTTCGGTTTATTTTTATAAAATAAAAAACCTACTCTAATTATCGGTATGGTTATAGATTTTATATAAAAACCTACGGTTTCTTTAAAAAAAACCTAAAAATCGATTCGGTAAAGTATGGTTCGGTCGGTTTAGTCGATTTTTAAATATTCATTGACACCCCTATGACATACTCTCCTTCTTCACTTTTACTTATCTACTATACTAAATATATATTTTTCCTTTGACTTGTTAATTTTAGCAAATCAAGAGAAAATTAATTTTTTTCTGTTTTGCCCTTACTCATTTCCCATTTTTTTTCAAGATTTCTTAAATTGTTATCATTATTATGGGTATTATTATAAAATATAATTATACTTCATTTATCATTTCTTAAGGAGCGTGACAAATTCATTGTGAATAATTAAGGAAAAAATTTCACATAAGAATAACTGAGCTCCTTACTTTTCAATTTTATAGCTCATATTTTAATTTACAATCAACTAGCCTAAAAATAATAGGTTAAGATTCAACATCCAACTCCAATAGGTTCTAAAAATTACTATTTAATATTTAAAAGATTTCTCAAGCTTTTAAGTTAATTTTCGAATCAATAACTGTGACTCAAATATAGTTCAACAAATAAAATCCATTTGGATGGTGAAAATTAGATTTTTAACAAGCTTAAATATGTGGGTTTAAATTTCGAATTTGGTTTTGTGATAATTTTGGAGTGGGTGTTATTTAGACTTGTTAGAAATAGTATAAGTATTGTTTATAAAATTTGAAGTCATTTAATGGAGATTTGAGCTGGTTTTGAACAAGAATTGCAACTGAAAATCATGGAAAAAGTTCGTCTACAGACTCTTGTATAAAGGTGTATAAAAGTGTGTAAAATATGTTTATACACTCTTATACAAGATTATACATAATTATACAAAAAACTGACTTCGTCTTCTTCCTTGCGTCTTTTCTAAAATTTAACTCAAATCTTGCTCAAATCTACTCTAAATCACTTCAAATTTAAATTTTGAACTCCTTTGAATATTTTCAATCAATTAGAACAACACCCAATCCAAACAACTAACAAACTCAAAAAATCCTATTTTCTAAAGCAAAGCTTTGAATGACCTTCAATGATGGACTTCTACTCTTAAATTTTCTTACATTGCAACCAGGTAAGAAGTTGCAATGGCGGACGGCCCCTTGAAGCATATGTAGAAGATGTGAGAAGAAGAGAGAGTGAAACAATGGTTGTGAGAACGCAAATTTAAATCCATAACTTTTAGAAGTAATGGTTGTAAGAACACATATTTTGAATTTGCTTGTGCTTTCAAAATATGTACAATATGGACTAGGTTGGTTAAAGCTTAAAAATATGAATCATTTTTTGTTATGGTATGAACTGTGAAGTCATGTGTATTTTCTTGCGATTCTTTTGTAATTAAATGTAAATTAAGACCACAAAACAGAAAATCAAAAGTGTGAAAATTTGTTGACCGTCTATTTAAAGAAAGTCTAAAACTGAGCCGCCGACCAAAAGGCCTTTTCCTTTTGTCCCTTCAAAGTTTCGTTTTCGCCGAATGTGGAAACCTAATCATTAGCCCAACCTCAAAATATAAAAGCTCCTAAAAAAGGAAAAGACCTCTCAACCAATAGCAATCTATTTTCCTTCTTCTACAGTTACAATAACAATAACAATAACAATATATCCAGTAATATTTTACGAGCGAGATTTGGGAAAAATAACATATACACCGATATTATTCTTATCTTATATAGATAGATAGATTGTTTCCGATAGACTTTTGACCAGAAGCGAACCTAGTGCATAGATTATAGATTCCCGGGAACTCAGTAACTCTTGCGTAGACTCTATATTTAAATTCACTAAATATTGATAAATATCTGACTGTGAATCCAATTATTATTGCGTATTAATTTAAAATTACGGTAAAAACCCATAAATCTCAAATCCTGAAGCCTTTGACTCAAGACAAGTAAAATCACAATAATATAAAAAAAAATAGATGAAGAAATCATGAAAAAGAAACAGTAACAATATCAAAATATCGAATCAGAAACGATATCAAATAATGATAAAAATCTAAGAATAAGATTAACTGAACGAGCTTGAATCCTTTACCTAATTATTATGTTACTGATCTAAGAGTTTATTCATTAAATCAGCCCTCAACTCTAATTAGTAGATGTCTACATTTTTCATAATGTGATTTATTTGCTTATTATTATTATTTACTTAAAAATATTAAATCTAAATAACTCACATAAAAAAAAAACTTATTCCACGTTTCAGGTGGGGCCCTATCTACAATTTCGCTTTATTGAGGAAAACCTAAAACTCACGTTACGGAGTTGCCTTTTTCTCATGGTTCTCTGTGAAATGACATAATCACCCCTAACCTTACAGTCAAATAGAGGCAACTTACCATGGAGATAGCTGTCCTTTTAGCTAACCAAAGTAACTAACGGATATCACACTAAAGATGGAAGCCAATCTTCCACCGTTGAAACAACGAAACGAAATGATATCAACGGCTAATATAAGCACCCACGTGCTTCTCCTGTATCTTTTGTGTACTGGATCCTGGCTTCCCGCTTCTTTCCCTTTTCACACTTAATAACCGCTATAGAAACAGAAGCCTTGTAGAACAAATGGACTTAATAAATAATTTTATTTATTATTTATTTTAATATAACATCAATTAATGATATTATTAATTTTAGTTTGACAATGAGAAGTTGTGCAGTATTAAAGATTAATTTTCTCTGAAGATTTTCTAATGGAAATTTATCTCCAAACACAATTCAAATTAAATATCGGCAAAAATCCCTACTAAAAGTGTAAAAATCAATAGACTTGATTATGGTTTCAAAACACCATTAGAAGTTGTGGTGGGTGATAGTGAACACATTTCTATCTTTTACAAAAGTTCTGGGTTTAAGCTCTAAGAATGAAATTGTTATTGGTAAAACAAATATTTTAGTAGGCGAAAACGAATCCGAAATCGAGCGGGAAAAAAAGATGAAAAATATATATTTTTAGTTGTTTCAAAAAATAATAACCTACATGACGGGATCGAGCAGTGATTACAACCATTAATGTTTGTATTAAGGTAGGTTATCTGCATCACACCTTTTGGTGCCCGATCCTTCCCCGATCATGATGCCTTGTGCACCAGGTCGCCCTTTTTCTATATGTATATTATATATATAAAATATACATATTTTATTTTCCATCCATTTTAATTTATGTGAATCTATTTTTTTTGGTCCGTACCAAAAAGAATGACCTCATTCCCTATTTGGAAATAATTTACCTTTATGCAGTGATTTACAACCACACAAAATATGTTTGTTTTATTTTACACCACAAGTTCAAAAGTCTTATATCTTTTCTTAAATTTCGTACCTAGTCAAATGAGTTCACATTAGTTGAAATAGAGAAAGTATAATTTTTGGTCATTTCCAGCCGAAGGTCTGTCGGAAATAACCTTTCTACCTTATAAGGTAGGGATAATATCTGCATACGCATTAGCTTGTTCAGACCCCATAAAATTTTATTGGCTATATTATTATTGTTGTTACTTGTTTTGGCCGGCAAATGTAATTAGTTTCGGCGACAGGCATTTTTGTATTTCGACCGAAAAAGACAAGAGGGGTTGCTCTGATGGTAAGCAACCCCCACTTCCAACCGAGAGGTTGTGAGTTCGAGTCTCCCCAAGAGCAAGGTGGGATGTTCTTGGAGGGAAGGATGCCGGGGGTCTATTTGGAAACAGTCTCTCTACCCTAGGGTAGGGGTAAAATTTGCGTACACACTACCCTCCCTAGACTCCACTAAATGGTATTATACTGGGTTGTTATTGTTGTTGACCGAAAAAGATTATGGTTTCAAAACGTTGCGTTTCGAGGCCGGCAGGCATTTGGTTGAACCAACCTATCAACCACTTTCCTTCACACTTCTCGTTTCAATACCAGAAATGAGAAAACCATTAAAAGCGAATTCTTTATTTCCCAATTTAATCAATTTGGTTACTATTTAAATTAAAATATTTATATTTATTTTCCGAACAGCTGTCCTTTTTGCGTATATTATAAATTTCTAAATTATCCACTCTTTTCTCTTTTCCGGTTTTCTAATATTCTTCTCGATTCCATCTACTGTTCTATTTTCTCTCTACTTTCTCCATTCCCCGCCGGAAAATCATTCGTTCGCCGGCGAACTGTCGCCGGAGAAGTTACACGCGCTCAGAATCTCTGATATAGTAGTGTTCCTTGTTTCTCGAGCGTAGTTAAATCACCCGGTGTCGCCGCTCGCCGGTAAACCTCTTCGTATCGCCGGAAAACCGCCTGCTCGCAGGTGAACTGTGTCACCAGAGAATACAGCTTCTCTATTATCCTTTGGTTTCGAGTAGTTGAATTTGTTTTCGAGTAGTTGAACCACTCGGACGGTGAAATCGTTTTGATCTCCGAGTTGGACTCGGTTTTGTGCCGCATCGAGTTAATGTGGATAGCCTAAGGCTGTGTTTACGGTTCATTCTGCTGTAGATCGTGTTCTAGGACTTAGCTGGCGGTTTTACAAGCGCTCTGTTTTTGTTGTTGCTGTTTTTTTTTTAAATTTAATTTTCTGGTGAAGTGTGGGAGAAGACGCCGGAGTAGAGGATAGGTTTGCAATACTATGCTTTTTAGAACATTTGTATGCGCAGTGTAATAATAAGAAGAGTGTGAGGTTTCGTCTAACTTTTTTTTTTTGCTTTGAAAATGGTGAATGTGATTTGGTTCTTTTCGTTTGAAGTCTGGATTTCGATCATTCTTATTGTTTTTTATGAAAATTGAATGACTTTTACATTATGTTTTAGTAGTGGTAGTATTGGAACGAAACAGTCCCAATAGAGGAGAAGAGATACCGAGGATTCATATAGCAAGCACTAACTAGTTCTAGATTGATGCATATTAGCAGTTGTGGAGCCACATGCAAGGAAGGGGATTGAATCCCCTTTTGTCGGAAAGTTATACTGCGTAAATAGGGTAAAAGCAATTTTTTACACGTATATAAACTTTTGAATCCCCCTAGCATAAAGAGAAAGGCAGGTTCAAATCCCAAATATGCCTCTCTGTTTTTTTTGAATCCCCTAGTTAGAATTCCTACTGCACTGTAGTTGTTATTTTGTTGTTTTATCAGTGGTTTCTTATGCATAATCTACAGTCTAAACTTTCAATCAAGTGCGAATACTATTTCTGTGATTTCATATTTTACTGAATCACATGTTTAGGTGATAGTTTTTGGTATTGCTAATTCTGATTTTTTTGTCCATATTCGAACATCAGTAAAGATTTTTTGTACTTGTCCTAATCTGTAAAAGAAAAAGGAATTGTAATTGAAGTATATGAACTTTGTCTATGAGTTTAACATTTTTCTTGAATGGTTCGATCTGAAGGTTGCTAATAGTACGTTATTTATTACTAATTCATTTTCTGTATGGCAGGTGGAACTTGGAAGGGAGAGTCGGGATGTCAAGGGAGGCTATGTTGGAGTTTTTGAAGCGAAAAAGGCTTCAACGAAAGAAACCAGAATCTATGAATGATTCGACTTATGTCAGCAATACGATGAGTAGAAGTGGAGGAGATGCCCTAAGCTCTTCAGCTTCATGTGGTGTTAGAGTTCATGTAAATGCAGGGTGGGGGACTTCCTTAAACAGAAGAGATGTTTTCTCAAAGCACAAGGTTGCCAAGTTTGATACGTCTAATCTTGACTGGACTGATAAAATTCCAGAATGTCCAGTTTATTATCCAAGTAAAGAGGAGTTTGAGGATCCGCTGGTTTATCTCCAGAAGATAGCTCCTGAAGCTTCTAAATATGGTATTGTCTCCATTAATATTCCGTGTCAAATAAATTAATGTCTTATGTTTCTCACTGCAAACACTATTCTATTAGTTTCCAGGTAGAATTTTACCTTCTAGTCCTTATTGAGTACGTTCCTTTGATGGAATCTGCCTGTTGAGAACATTGATTTACTTGTTATCTAGAGTCTTCGGCATTATCTGTAGTCCTCTGTCCATTTTGATTTTTGAAGGTGAAAATTGTCCCATCTATTTTCAAAAACATATTAATCCTTCTTGCTTTGTCTGGACTGTGTTCTTGTATAAACTTAGTTGCTAGTGACTTGGTTTGTTCTGTCAGATTCATTTGTTTGATAAGAGTTGATACTATGTTTGAAATAACAGGAATATGCAAGATTGTTTCACCAATCATGGCTTCTGTTCCTGCTGGAGTAGTGTTGATGAAAGAGAAGGCTGGTTTTAAATTTTCAACGAGGGTACAGCCACTTCGTCTAGCTGAATGGGATACAGATGACAAGGTCACATTTTTCATGAGCGGAAGGTTAGTTTTTCATTCGTATTTGGTGTTCTGTTAATTGATTATTTGTCAGCTTTTGAGGAATAATATGGTTTTTCAGAAACTACACATTTCGTGATTTCGAGAAAATGGCGAACAAGCTCTTTACTCGTAGGTATTGTAGTGCTGGATGCCTTCCTCCTGCTTATATGGAAAAAGAATTTTGGCATGAAATAGCTTGTGGAAAGACTGAGAGTGTTGAATATGCATGCGATGTTGATGGTAGTGCATTTTCATCTTCTCCCAATGATGAACTTGGAAAATGCAAATGGAATATGAAGGTGTAGATTTCAGAACAAAGTTTCTCCTTATCGTGCTGTTCCTATATGGAGTTTTTTTGTTTTGTTTTAAGCGATATGTTCTATTGTCAGTATAAAATGAGTCAATGTGCCTTGCATCTAGCGTTCATATTTATTGCTGCTACGTTCATGTTTTGAAACATTTTATCAGTGTTAGCCTTGTCACTGTTGTTTGATAGAGTTCCGCTCAATGTTCTCTTGTACTCTTTTCCTCTTTCTTACGGTTTTTACCTTTTTCCTTCCTTTCTGAACCTACCACACGAAGGACAAAATAAAATCTTTCTCATAATTTTCCATGCATCAGCTTTCCCCGCTCCTGTCAGCATTAGATGTAGTCTTAAAGGTGGTCTATTTGCCCTTTTATATTCCCTTTCTGTTCTAATAAATCCTCTATTTGTGGTTTCAGAGATTTTCTTGCCTACCTAAAGCAACACTTCGACTCCTCGAAAAAGCTATCCCGGTAAACAGATTAGTTTTTTCATCTTTTTCGTTGAAATTTTAGTCCAACCTGAAGTTATCTCACTTCCTAATAATGTATTTTCTCTTCTCTAGGGAGTTACTGAACCAATGTTATACATTGGAATGCTATTTAGTATGTTTGCCTGGCATGTTGAAGATCACTACTTGTACAGGTGTGTGTGATTTAATTTGAAGTGTACGTCCTAGTCTGGTTAATTTGGGGACTTACCTTTTTTCATTTGTGCATATAGCATCAATTATCATCATTGCGGGGCAGCAAAAACCTGGTATGGTGTTCCAGGTCATGCAGCGCTCAACTTTGAAAAGGTTGTCCGCCAGCATGTCTATAACAATGATATCTTAAACGCTGATGGGGAGGATGGAGCTTTTGATGTGCTTTTGCAGAAGACAACATTGTTTCCTCCTAACATTTTATCAGAACATGATGTTCCTGTCTATAAAGCTGTTCAAAAGCCTGGGGACTTTATAGTAACTTTTCCAAGAGCATATCATGCTGGATTTAGCCACGGTAAGCGTCTATAGTTTTGTCTAAACTTTAGAGTTAAAGGATGCATAATACCTTAAAACATGTTGGTCTGACATAGTTCTCCAACACTTCTCTACTTTTGGCCCTAATTTTTTTTATTACTCTTGTAGTTTCATCTTAGTTGACAATTAGCATTAGTGAATTCTATTTCTCTAATATGTAGGTTTTAACTGTGGCGAGGCTGTAAACTTTGCAACTGGTGATTGGTTCCCAATTGGTTCAGTTGCTAGCCGTCGTTATGCACTGCTGAACAGGGTGCCTCTTCTTCCCCACGAGGAACTTCTCTGCAAAGAAGCAATGCTTTTGCGTATGGATTTGGAACTTCAAAATCAAGCTTATTCCTCTGCAGATTTGATCACCCACCATAGCATTAAAGTTTCTTTTGTAAATTTGATGCGGTTTCAACATCGTGCTAGGTGGTGCCTCATGAGATCAAAAGCATTTTCTGGTGTATCGTCATTTTCACACGGCACTATTCTTTGCAGCATATGCAAGCGTGACTGCTATGTAGCATATCTGAACTGCAACTGTTACTCACATGCAATGTGCCTTCGCCATGGTATGTTATTGAATGGAACCTTTTCTTTGTCTTTATTTGTTAATTATACGGGGAAGCTCCTTCATAAAATAAAAAAAGAAAGAAAATATCCGGAGACACTGAACTGATGATCAGTATGATGGTTGTTTCTTTATCAGATCCTAGGTCTCTTGATCTACCTTGTGGAAGCAGTAGAACCCTTTGCTTAAGGGAAGATTTTTCGGACATTGAAACTGCAGCAAGGAAGTTTGAGCTGGATGATGTTGTTTTGCATGAAATTGGGCAATATAGAGAAAGTGATGACTACAGTCTCCTTTTGAACATGTTTCCACGAGCTGAAGAGGAAGGCTATGTTCCATTTTGTGAAATAAAGTTTGAATGGTCTGAGGAAACCTTGAAAACTGAGGACTGGGTTGAACAGGCCTCCAATGCTTCTGCATCTAGTATTGGAATTGTGTCACGTGTTGGTTCTCCCATGGACCAAAAAGATTGCCTTTCTGCTAATGTTGATGTAAGTGATCATCGATAAAGTTACTATATCTGTGCTACTTTTGTGATTTCTGGAATACTGAAGTGGAAATGCTTTTATTTGATCTCAAGCTAATTCAATTTACATTGTAGGTACAGGAAAATGCTAACTCAAACTTAGGGAATAGTGTATCTGTCAGGCCTTCTAGAGACATTTCTGGATGTGAAAGTGAAAGATCAGTTTTTTCACCTGGTGATGACTATTTAAAGGTTCATGAAAAAGTAGCTCATGTTTCAGATGCTAGAACTGTTGTAGATCAAGACAGTGATGAGTCTGATACAGAAATTTTCAGAGTGAAGAGACGTTCTAGAACAGAACATGGGAGGAGGAGTACACATGATTCAATATCAGTTAATGTTGAGCACCAGGTATTGCATTCTGGGGTCTTAGTTCAATACAACTTTTCTCTCATTCTGTTTTCAAAATTAAAGTTCTAAGTTAAACAGTTCTATGGAAGTGGAAAAGCGGGTGTCAAATAAATTTTTGTTGGTTTCTATTTGGATCGTTGAATACGTCTATCTCCCTTTGTTGTTTTGCATAGATTAGTCCTTCAGCTTACCTAATATGTATCCTAATGGTAGTAAACCCTTTTGAACTTTTGTTACCAAATCTGGAGCAAAATAAGTTTTTAGCCTATTTAATTACAGGGCTTTGATTACCTGGTCTTGCTAGTTGTCTGTGTCAATCCAGATTGGTATTTTATGTTCATTGTTTCTGATTTGCAGGTAAACAAGTATGTCAAACTAATTGCTTTGTTTGAGTGGATAGTATGAGACCCCTTATATCATGTGTCAAAAGCAAATTTTATGAAGCTAATGTTCAAATGCTGTTTCCATTGACCAGTTATAGTTACATTCACCTTACTTGCTACTGTGTGGACATTCGTCATTTTTGGTGTGAAATTGTACTAAGCTACTGAGTGTTATTGGCATTTTTTTTCCAGGGTTACAAACGATTAAAGAAACATCAAACTGAAGGACGGCTTGGGCCATTATCTTCATCAGACTGTTCCATGGCTGATGATGCAACTCATAGTTACAATGGTAATTCAATCCATTCTAAGGAAGCCTTGGATTATCCTTTAAGAGACAAATCGGCCAGAAGTGGTACAGTTCCCATCTCTATTAAGTCCAAGAAAGGGGATAATGCATCGAGCAAGCAAAACGAGAATAAAAGAGATGAAAATTTCGACTATGGGTTGGGTAAGACTGTGGGGGAACCACCTCCGATAGAGATAGGGCCAAAGAGGCTGAAAGTCAAGACCCTTCAATTTTTAAGTTTGGAGGAAGAATTGAATAGCTCATAAAATCTGACTTTACTCTAACTCCCATTTTCTCTAATGGGGATCTAACAAAAGGATGAAAAGCTAAATATTTTGGGGGAGCAGCAATGCAACAGTTAACCAAAACTTAGATTAAGGAGGTACATTCTTTGTGCAGGCCTCTAATTGGGGCAAATGGCGCACTGGTGATTCTTATGGTTCTCGGGCCATGGTGTTTTTTTAGTCTTAAAAGGCAGGAGAACGTCTCTCTCTGTCGTGATGGATGTGCTGGAGAGGTAGCAGGTACTTGGCAGAAGTCTGAGGTACGCGCAAGATAACCCAGACACTATCGTTATAAAACTCTTTCTTTTGCCACAGCAGATAGTAGAATTTGGGGTAGGGACTTTTCTGTTGTACATTTTTTATTAACAAATTGGTCAATTCTTGTGAGGTCCAATGTCTAGTAATCAGGTTAGGCCTTTGATCTAATGTGACATCTGCTGCCTCCATCTCAACAGGTCATTATTCTTTTTGTAGCTAAGGGTCTCTTTGGCTTGAAACTACATGAATAAATACAAAGAAGATTGTGTTTTTAGATTTCTTCCAACTTTCTATATTTATATTAAGCTGGCTACATTAAAAATAACATGACGCTTCTGATGGGCCAGGAAACCTATTTATTTTTTCTATTTTTTTTAAAGATTTTCCTTCATATTATAATTGTTTTTATCAAAGCATCTGCATGCATTTTATGGAAGTGTAACAGTTTGTCTTTTAATTTAGGAAAGTGCAAAAGCTTGTCTATTCAACCGCGTTAAACAATCTATCTATACTATATAAAAAGAATGAAGCCGCTATCGAAATATCATTCGCTTTTTTTACCCTTTAAAAACTAATTTTATATTAGAAAAAAATAATCATTTACTTTAAAAGTCCGAATATTTAGGACTTAAAAATTAATTAAGATCTTGGTAATAGGACTTTCAAATCAACTATAAGTTTGTCGATAATAAATTTTTGTAAATCGCCACTGCTACAGAGATCATTATTTGTAATGGATCCTCAATTAGATATAGAATCTTTGACTTCCTTTAACCTCAGCTTCCGTTCCCTTCTTAAATCATAGAACAAATTTCTCCAAAACTATTCTCATAAATGATAGTATGCTTTGTTTATTTCAAAAACAACATATTTTTTTTTACTTTCTTAGCACTTTCCCGTTGATAACTCCATTAACTAAGGGATCCCTCTACATTAATACATTTTTTACTACATTTCCTTTTCCCTCGGTCTTCCATAATTTCTTTTTTCTCTTCCATAAATAACACTTACCCGAATATATCAAAGATTCTGAAAGAAGAATATCTCAAAAATAATTTCCTTTGCCCAATGAGAATTTTAGTATTTTTTTTTCTTTTTTGAGTTTTAAACTTTTTTCTGTACAATGTTATTTTAACTCAAAATACACCTTTAATATATTTCAAGTATATTATATTATGATAATTTACAATGTAAATATTCCATCAATATGTCATATATGTCACATATACTATTTTTATACGGATAATTTATACAAATATGCATGTTATATTAGTGCAAAATATAAATGGCATATTAATAATATATATTTAAATATAAATAAGTGTATAAATAAGATATTCATATATACATGATTTTTTCTAAAAAAAATACATACCACAAACATACATTATATTTTTTTTCACGAAATATATGTATTTTTTTTCATTGGAATATACAAATATATAATTTTGCTAGGATTAAGTTGAATAAAAAGGAAAAAATTGTTATGGAGTGGATCGATGATATATATTTAAATATAAAGACGTATATAAATAAATATGCATATATACATGAATTTTCCTAAAAATACATGATTTATAATGTATATATACCACAAATATACATTATAATTTTTTCATGAAATATATATATTTTATTTCATCAGAATATAAAGATGTATAATTTTGCTATATTATATTATATTATATAAAAAGGTTCATGTATGGAAAGAAAAAAATATGTTATGGAATGGATTGGTTTCTAGCGAAAACATAAAACATGTTATGAAATGGAGGATATTAAATACTTGGATTGCCTTTTTAAGCATCTTGATTCTTGCTGATTTGAATTGAATTAAATCTGCTATATGTATAAATATTTTATTGCCATATTTGTCAATCATTAATTAATGCTAATCTTTTGTATTATGTTTTTAATAGTGTGCTATTAATGAAAGTAGCCCATTCTAATTGATAGTTCCTCTATCTCAAATAGGAACGAAATGTGGTTCTTTGTTCTTACATGTGATTTTGCATTTGATAGCATACACTGTTGCTAGAACAATTCGTCATCAATAATAAACAGTAAGAATTTCTGTATAATTGTCACATGAATTTATATCTTGATTATGTCACTATTTCCAATAATAAAGTGGTTTTTATATGAAAGTCATTTAATTTCTATAGCGTGGTTTTTGTTCTAGGTTGCGATGCGTTCATTGGCACAACCTTTGCTAGGTTTTTACGCGTAATATCATATGTGTGAGTGTGTATGGGTGGTTACTTTGGGAACTTGAAATTTAGTGTCAAAGGTAAATATTTCTTTTTTAAATGTACATATTTTAAAGAGTTGAAGTGTTTTGAGATACTTTCGAATAGTAGCAGAAGTTGAAAAAGTAATTTTTCCCCATAAGCTTTGCCAAAGTGCTTTTAAGCATGAATTTATCCCTAGAATTTAACTTTGTCAATATATTTGTGTTTTTTTGATAAAGTATCTTTTTACTTAAATGATTTGTGTCTATCTCTACATCAATTGCTATTACACATAATTTATTTTTATTTAATATTTTATATATTATTTTATTGATAGACACAGAATACACTTGCAACACACATCCCTGAGAATCACCATTCTTTGACACAAAGTACCATCAGGGACACCTGACGAAGCAATTGTGCTCAACAAAGTAATGAGGAGAATTAAAAAGAAAATTTATTTGTTGGACATCATAACTCCCTCACACTATAGAAAAGATGCACATCAAGGATTTTATAGCAATATGTATGCATCAGACTGCAACCAATTGAGAAGAAACTGTACAAGTTAGGCAGATAAAGTTGTACAACAGTATCCAATCACCGAGTACAAGTAAGACTTCAAACTCTCCAATTAGTAATCGACAAACGAATTGAATAAGCTCTTTAATTAGTAATCTGTAAACTGCATTCACTTCCATTAATGGAATAAGCTCCCCAATTAGTAATCAATATACCGCACCCTCCTAGAAAGGTGTAATATCAAGAACAACACGACGATTAGCACCCTGATTCTTACTAGAAACTTCCAGACTGTTAAAACCAAGAACAAAAAATCAGATTTTTTTTAGAAAATTACAACTCAAAAATGAAAAAAAAGTTACAGAGTTTCTAAGCAAAATTGTCTCTTAAAAACTCAAGAATTTACCAACAGATTACACACCTCGCTACCGGGAAGAACATTCCTGGATAAGCTTGATACGTGTTTACCGTGAAAATGGTAATTATAACTAAATTTGATTGTGTGGTTCTAAAAATACGTGATCCATTTTTATGCTAGTTGTTAGGCAGTAAATGCTAAGCGTGAGACTAGAAAATGAGATAAGAACTTGAAAATGGTATGTTTAGGCAAACCGAGCGGTTGAGAATCGGGGCCTCGAGCCTGACTATACGGGGCCTCGAGCCTGACTATACGGGGCCTCGAGGTCGAGCTTGATGCTAAGCTATGAACGTCCGATGAAGGGCTAACAGTATTGAGAGCTTTGATGAAGGCTCTTTATGGTCAATAATGAGTAATGAATGGAGAACAATAAATAGAACACGATGAATATAGGCAATAAATGTAAGTAGTGAAACCAAGAGAATATGTTTAAGTTAGAGAGTAGAGAATGTTCTTGTATTGAATGATATGAGTAGTATGTCCTTACAAAAATGGCAAGGATCCCCTTTATATATCAAGGGGAATCCTAACATAGTATAAGTGCATTTATTACAAAGATATATGGCTCGTATAACCATTTAATGCCACGATACGGGCTTCTGCTAGCCTAATAGGCTTGACCAGCTTTAGTCACGTGCCTTGGGAACTTCTCGTTAGTCCAACATAGCCGCTGGTATGCACTGCCTTGAGATCGAGCGTATGGAAGCCCTCGGAGTCGGGCCTCGAGCCTTCCGAGAATGGGCTGCAAGATATCATACAACAACAGCAACCCAGTAAAATCCTACTACTGGGGTCTGGGGAGGGTAATGTGTACGCAGACCTTACCCCTATCCCGAAGGAGTAGAGAAGTTGTTTCCGAAAGACCCTCGGCTCAAGAAAACAAAAAGACAAAAGGAGACAATATTGGTACCAGCAAAGAAATCATATGAAAAACAGGAACAACATGAAATTCAGAAGAAAGATGCAAAGCAAATGCGATAACTAGCAAATAGTTCCTGCACTGAAAAGTGAAATAGTAAGACACAACATTGCCACTATCTTAGATAAAAACCCTACCAGACTGGTCTCGCAATGGTACAAAGTAAGGAAAGACTCAAACTACCTCATAACATACAACCCTAATACTCGACCTCCGCATCTCCCTATCCAGTGCCATGTCCTCGAAAATCTGAAGCCTCACCATATCCTGCCTGATCACCTCTCCCCAAAACTTCTTAGTTCCTAGATATCATAATGATCATAAAATTGGGCCCTCTAATTTTTACCGTATACAGATAGTCCCCGTGTTTCTTAGAATAAAAATGATAAGAAACGGTCTTGAATTCCCGTCTATTCAATATTCACTACCATGACGTCAGTCCATTAAAGAATTAAATGCTATGACTTAAAAGCCGCGCAGGAGTCGCTGTCAATACGACTATCGAGAAGTCCACGACCCGATACTGGTTTGGCCCTTCCGCTTCCCAAATGCTGCCCATACATCCTCTATAAATACCTCAATTGCCTTGTTATTCACACTTTTACAACATTTACAATCCCATAGAGCTAAGTTCATAATCTCTTACATTCCTTTCCCTTTCACGCTTGCCTCCTTACTTCTTTTCTCAAAAACCTTTTTGCAGCCATGGTTAGGACCTCTAAAATAGTGCTTCAGAAAGAGGACACCGCCTCTTCTTCTCGGCCATCTAGGGCTAAACCAAAAGTACCCCAACTATCGAACAATGTACCCCTACTAAATTTGATTTTGTATCCGATTTTTTCGTCGAGAATCTTCCTAATACACCAGGCCGATGTGACCATGCATCTCGGTACATCAGCGTGGTAACCAATATAAAAAGAGTAAGGGAAGACTGCCAATGGGGGGCAGCAGTGTCGGTTGAGATTCCCCGACCTGCTGAAAGCATACTAGACCATAAGGCTGGCTTTCTTAGTGTATATATATACCCCTTTACTCTGGTTCCCGTAGATTCTTCGGACCCTTCTTCTTCGTCGATAGACCTGGTGATCCTCGAATTCTGTCGTGAGTACCGGATGACGTTTGGCCAAATTTACCCTTCATTCTGGAGGATAGTCTATATGCTCCGATATTTTTCTAACCAA